ATTATGCAATGTCGCGATGAAAACGCATTGCGCAGTACAATATAATATTAACAATATCCTCGCCCATTATATTAGTGCGTCCCTATGGCTATACAACCATTACATAGGAAGGTATATTATATATAAATTATTATAACATCGTTACTCGACACACTTAAAAAAACCGCAGTATCTATGCCTACCGCCTGCCTACATAATATTATTATACGTCCTCTACCTACCTATTTTGTTTTTATCTCTATTGTTTCCAGTTGTTCAAACCGTGTGATAAAATTATTGTTTTACTTTTTCTTTTTTTATTTGGTGTGTAGATACACACACCTACCTAATTTGTATTTGTATTTTTTTTTTGTATTTTAAAGTAACAACAACAACAACGATTATTACCTTTTGAAATTTAAAAGGTATATAGGTACCAAGGTACCTACATGGAAAAACAATGGAATATTATATTTTACATTTATATTTTAAAAATCATCTCTTATTTAACGTATACGGTTTACAACAACTCACACTAGGCAGTAGTCACACTGTTTTACTTGTCACGTTAAAGTTAAACACTGAATCGAAAACGTATATAACAATTTATAACATTATAATATTATGTATTATGACATTATATCTATAATTCCTATTAATACTCGTCAAAAAAATCAATTTAGATATCTCCACTATATCCAAACGTTAAAATAAAACCGATATTTTTCACGAGTAGGTTTTAATACCTATTAAATAAAGTATTAATTCAAATTAGCAACTGTAAATTTATATTTAAATGGGCATTTAATTAGACATCTGATTAGTTTTTATACCACGTAATTTGAAATGTTTAATTAATAATTATTTGTATGCTATGTATTCGCATAGCTATATAATATGTTATTTTATTAATTTTTCAAACTCTTTTATTATAACAAATATTATTAAGAAATAATAATAATATGTAAAAATGTTTATTTTATTATTAGTAGTACCCAATAGGATAGTATTGGGTATATAGTAGTATATATATATATACTATATATATACTATATATAGTATATATAGTACCCTTATAGGATACTATCCTATAACTTGACATTATTTAGCTAAAAAGTTTGTATGCTTGAATGAGTTAAATATTAGACAAAAACTACTGGACCGAAATAAATAAAAGTTATATCAAAATTCAATAGACTTTTGAAAACTATAGCGGGTTTTAGCTTTTCTTAACCCATGTAGATGTAGGTTACTGTAGGACGGCTCACACAGGAATTTCATTTTGGCTCACAAAAATCGAATTGTTTTTTGTTTTTGTTTATAATAATACTATGGTTGTCATTTGTTACAGATATAAGTACGAAAATTAGTATAGACTAACCGGACGTGCGTCGCTATGAGATTTTTTTTGAATAAAATAAGTTTAATCTTAATTTATTGTAAGTTATTACTTTTTAGTTTTTACATTCAAATAATGTGCAACAAAATTCAATGTCTTTATGTTTGTAACTTTTAACTAAACAATTTATTTACAAACATTACTCAACCGATTTTGATTAAAGTTTYAAAGACAGTTCTTGGAAATACCAGGAAAATTTAAAGAGTCAAACTGACTCCGTTCGAAAATATAACAAGTTCTATGTCTAATCCGCAATGGTTGGATTGCTGGTATCGGTAAAATTGGTTCACAAATCTGGTACTCAAATGCCGATTTTCCCCAGGAAAAAGTAAACTAAACCSAGGTACACCGATATTCTGCCGTATTTGATGTTTGTTCATTTTCCCAATGTAAAGTCAGGTTACACAGCTATATTATACATAAATAAATACAAGTTACGATGACATAACCACATAGGTAACTGGTTAGTTTATACGAGAAAACACATAATATCAGAAATATATTTTTTGCCTTGCTATTAGTCGTAGACGCTGATGCGACAATTAATTAAATAAGACTACGATCGATAAACGACACTTATGAGAACAACATATTTTTTTCTATGTTATCTCTTTACTTGTTAGTGCTCGGTATACGTTTTTTATTCAATCATTTTTCATTTTCAAGCAGTGTGAGCATCGATTAATAAACAAGGCCTGTGCTTAGCAGTTAAAATTAACTAAACGAGTAAATCTATTGAAATTATAGTTCTAAAATCACTTAAGCCTTGAGCTACAATATACAAATACTATATAATATGCCTACGACTATGTATAGGTAACGATCGTAAAGGTGTTTCGTTGTYGTTGTGTATAAATGTAAAAACTATAAAATAACACCTTTTATTTTACAGATACAAATGAGACTAATGTTCGTTTAATAGTTACGAGTATTTTTTCTTTATGAATATTTACTAAGCCTAAGTGTTTTAATAATCGGATGAATATTTACAGTATTCGATTTTTATATTTATTTTTTTTTTACAATAAAAATAAAATCGTGTAACGGTGTAACAGATAAATCGTAATTGATTTAAAATGTCTTCTCTTTTAATACTCTATTAATCTATAGGCTATATATAATATACAAAGTACTTAAGTACCATGAAAGTACCAATCTGTCGACGCGTATTTCTCAATTGTCACGCGGGATTTTGTCTCTTTTTAGAAAATACCAATTCCAATAAATCAAAACGAAACCGCCCATACGCCGGTGAAAATCAAAAACCAATAACTATTGTAAATTCTCTGTGAAGAGTTTGGCTAAAGAAAATGTTTCTAGAGACGGCGACGGTCAATGGGTACGTATCTACCTGACAGGTGTGAACTGTTTGACCGCTATTTGAAATATTATACGTTGTATTGTTGTATAGTATAACCATAAAAACGACTCTTTAATCTTTTACACCCTTTCTGTTGCTATATAACACGCGCTATGGTGACTTTACCTTTTCTATAATTAAAATGTTATTTTTTTTCACTCGCACACACATGTTTATCAAAGTAAAAACGAAAAAAAAATCGTCGGTCGTTACAGGTACGGCACTATATTATGCGTTATGTAGCGTCGTATATTATATCGAGTGCACAGCGCGGTGGAATTTTTTGCGTGTAACTTACTCGTATATAATAATATACGACTACAACTTTTAAACCATCTTAAAGTGATTTAAATTGTACAAAACTTGAATAATTGAAAATTGCAGTTTGTGTATATTATATCCACGTCTTTCGTTATTTTTCATAAGTTATTGTTGAATGTAAATTTCTCCTATTTAAATCAGGTAAGCACTTGTCTACTCTTAGAAATTCTCTCCTGCCGCACGCCCAAGTGCCTGACCCAAAAATATTGTTCTGCGCAACAACTTATACAGCAATGATATTTATAATGATTAAAGTATGGCTGACAGTCGTACATTGYTAATTATTTCGATACAAAAATTATGTAGTTTAAATGGTGAACGGATATTATAATTATATACATATTTTATTGTTACGTACGACGCTGACATGGAGTCAAAAACATATGTTGTTTACTTACCGGAAAAAAAAACCTATACCAATATAATATTAAGAGACACTTCTATAAGATAGGTAGTTGTTGTTATTTGATATTTACTTACAGGAATAGATATCATTTGATATTTACGTTCATGTATCAGACGATATTTACTTATGCACAAGAGTTTGTATTTTAAACAAAGATTGAAGTGCCTATTTTTGTTCAAATACCGTGATGAGTTAAACCCTATTATGTATTATACATTTATAATATTATTATACACAATATGTATATGGCGGAACTGTACCTACGCAATTTGAAACATTTTAAGCACCTTCGCCCACTCGCCGGCCATTTGCTGGTATTCGAAACTTTTACACGATGTAACAATAAAAGGTATTTCACGCAAGGTCAGACTAATCGCACGTCGGTTTATGCACTCGCTGCGGTTTAGATTTATTGGTACCTATTTATTTTTTTGTCGTTTGGAGGGGATTGGTTCTCATTTTAAAAATTGACCAATTCCGAAAAGAAACGGAACATAATGCAAGCATGACGGATACGAATTACGAGCGAGCACAAAGGGAAGACCTTCAAAGGTGTTTTTGTCGACGTTTTTACCCTATCSTCGAACCAGGTAACAGGATACCTATATGATTGATATTCGATTTAGAAGCGGCAATATTATTATATTGAGATTTTGAACAGAACACGAGGTTTGAATTTTACGAGATATCCTAGGTTAGGCCCGGAAGTCGACCTAACCGCGTCCAAACGCACGGATTACGAATGAAGTCAATGTTCTCGAGAAAGCGTGTCTAAAGTGCAGACCGAAGTTCGCCGGCAAACGAAACGTTGGCGCCAACAACGGTACCAGCACGTCGCTSGTACGCTTATTTCTATATAATATTAATCTAATACAGTTGGTTACGTATATCATAATAATTTTATTGTTCAAACGGCAACGGCGAAGCTTTCTGACGGAACGCGGCGCGGTCGTCGTCACGTTGGCAGTTTTGTCGAAATTCCGGTAGCCCGCCGTCGACGGTCGTGTCGGCCGGCGGCGGGAGCGAGGCGAACGAGCAACGGCCAACAAGACGTCGCGTACTCGCGTCGTCGACCGACATCGGTCCGGTATGCCGCAGCCGCGCGCTCGCCGTTTCATAAAATGAAATAATATTACATTATCATTACGCTATACCGGAGCCGCCGAACGCGGTTGGTAACACTGCAACAGACGCGCCGCCGGGCGACACGGTTATTCGGCCGCCGCGGCTATATGGTAAAATATCATTATATACGTACGTTACACGATAATAATAGTAATAATAAAAATAATGATAATATTCCTCACGTTTGCGGCTCGCCGTGCATACGTGTATAATAATAATATGACGGCCGCCTCCTCTTCCGTCACTCTACCCCGTAACGTCCCACCGCGCGACCGCCCGCCGACGAAGGCCTTCAATTATTTCCATAAGCTACGCCGCCGCCGCCGCCGMCAATGAGGTTTCCCGCCGCCGCCACCGCCGCGCCACCATCGGTATGCGCCGCGCGTTTCCGCTTATCCGTTCGCCGTCGGGCCGCGCGCCAGTCACGAACAACGTCGGCAATCGTCGACGTCGTACAGTCGCCGTCGCCGCCGCTTCACGCTCGTACGTAATCGCGAACGGGTTGAGATAGAATTTTTCTTGTATCACGACGTCTTATCGCGGCTTTCGACCCGCGACAAATTCCAGAGCGATAACGCGCGTGCGCGCGTCAGCCCGCCCGCTGCCCCATCAGACGGCCGCGATGTATCGCGTCTGAGGGGCCCCGTCCGGACGACAGCCGTGCATGCGACGTTCGTGTGTACGACGACGGTTCCGCCGCGTTCTACCACGGCCGCGTGTGCTGTTCAACGGACCGCAGACGCCGCCTCCGCCTCCGCCGCCGCCGCCGAAGAGGACGACGACGACGACGGGCGGAAAGCGCGACCACCAAAATGCCGCCTCCCCCACGGACGATTTCGTGACATCGGCTACTGGGTGAGTGTTTCACAGTCTCCAAAGTCGGCTTGTACGAGCCGCACTCGGGCGTTGTGTTGTCGTTATCGGTACGGACAGCGCGGCAATGGCGCTGTCCAGGACCGGATTCAGACGGCGTAACACGGGCAGCCGTACACTATGGCCACGGCTACAGTTTCGGCTGCCGCTTGGCGGCGTCCTGTCGGCCGATTTTGAACTTTCAATTTTTCGCGCGGAAAGCTTTTCGCCTGCTCTCCGTCCTCCCCTCCAGCCCCAGAGACCTCTACGCTCTCTCCGATTCTTTTTTACATCATTTTAATCTTCTCGCTCGACCATCCCTTGACTCATGCAACTTGTTGATCTACCTACCTACCTTTTTTTATCTGTTTTGGCACTAACACATTGATTGAGCATTGCCAATTATTATATTTCTCTACTCATCCGTCACTTTCCATCATTTTGTTTATCAATCAAGGGGTTTTTTAAAAGGTTTTTCAACTCCATGTACTGGACAGTAGGATTAATTTGGACTTTGGCCTATTTAACTAAACAAACTTTGATTGAGCTTATATACTAGATCATCAATTAATACTGTTACCACACCAATTCAAAATTCCTAAACTAGAACTTTTATTAAAAAAAACTCCAAAAACAAAACATTCAGGTGCTAATATGTAATTTTATTTTGGTAGGTAGGTATGCAGTTCAGTGAGTGATCTAAGAACAGTAAATTTTATTAAGACAGTTTTTTAGTAGAGACATTCCTAGCAAAAATTTTTTATTAGGTAGTTTTAAAAAGATCAAAAATATAATTTTCTATTTATTTAAATTAAATTTAATAAGTACCTATTACCTAGTCCCTATCAAATATGAAATATGTTGTGCTTTTTTTTTATAAATTTTCCTTATTAAATATTAATAATAGGTAGGCATAGCTGGTATAGATACCTAAAAAATCATAATTAAAAATACCCAACTAGTGGCTTAAAAATATAGTAGTTACCGAGTATATTTTTAGTTTTATGTATTTTTGTTATATTGTATGCTTAGGTACATACTGACTGGTATACTCTCTTGTATATTTAATTAGACAAAATATTTTTAGATACCTATAAATATAATAGTTATTTTAAAATGTTGTGTTATCTAATAAGTGATTTGCTAATAATTTGATAGTTACATGAAATGTTTTACCATCTGAATGAGTCCCGTATATTTTAACTTTCACTTAAGTACCTACATTTTGTTACATATTAATCCTTTTAGTTAGATACTCACTGTTACTGACATAATGTATTTAAATGAAAACAGTGTATGGTCTTTAAAATCTAAGAATTAGTTGGTAAAATAATKTGAACAAGTCTAAATAATAATATGATAATCATGGCTTATATTAATATAAATAGAAACTACTGGCTTAGCAGATTGTATTATTCAAGGTACCTATTACTGTTATTATATCAATTATAAATTACATTATTGGAGTATACCTGATTGTATATTATTTCATATTATTTTACCTCTACAAGTGACTGTTGGTAATTTAAATTATTCAATACATTTTTGTGCAATTTGAAAACAACTTAAGTTGGAAGAGTATGATATGTTTGTGGAAAGATTATGATTTGCTGTGTCAAATGTATTTTAATTAGATCAGAATGATTTGTATTAAAAAGTAATTGGTATTATTAAAATAGATTTATTAGATGAGGTATTTATATAGGTAATTAAATACAATTTTAATGTGTTGACTGCCATGTGACCACCAGTGTTTAGTTGATATATATTATTGGTAAGCCAAGCATATTTTTCAGTGTCATTCCAAATTTATATTTTTCTATTATATTCGAAAAATATAAAAATAAATATATTTATTACCTCCAACAAGTTGTATTGATTCTCGCTACTCCACCATGCTTTTTTAGCGCATTATTATAGCTCCATGAAAAAGTTTACAGTATCAGGTCTACTGAATTCCATTTGCATTATTTAGATTACTTAGACCCTACATTTTATGAGTACCTGGTAATTTTATAAAAAAATTATTGAAGTTGATGTAATTTCTACATAGTGTACTATACCTACTTCTATCTAATATATTTAATAATAAATTAGGAATTATATTTTAAAATCATAAATCATTACCAATTCAAATGGTTATCTTCAAAACTCAAGGTCAATTCATTATTTTTTCTCAAGTGTATCGAATACTATTTTCAATATTTGGTATCGGTGTGTTTATTAGTATGTTATGTTGACCTACCTAAGAATTTTATATTAATTGTATACCTTTTTGTACAATATTATATCGGTAGGTATTCAATAGAGTTATTACACTAATTGTATCAAATAAATTGATATTCTACTACTATATATAAGCATTTAATTGTTTTTATAAGTACATTTTTAGTGTTACAACTCATATATTTCATGGTTAATACTTTTGCAAATACCTGAATATATACTTTACTTTATTTATTCATTTGCTTGTACACTCATATTGTAGCTCTAATCAGTTTAGAGTTATAATAATCTAGATTTATATTTAAATGTGAACATGATAGCAATTATTATTTTTATTGAGGAAATTAATGTTAAAATGTGTACATACCTACTATGAGATTGAGATATGAGATCAACTATGTTTAAATTCATTTAAAAAAATTGCTGCAGTTTCTTGGATTCAAAAACATTTCATGAACATATTGAAATTGTGTATTCACATTTTATTAGTGAAGAAAACTAAATGTTAAATTGCATGCATTTACATTACCCAATTATTTATTATGCAAGTGAAGAAGTAGGTACTGTCTATTGCTTATAGTTAACTATAGGTAACATATTGATAATTTATTCATAAGAGGTTAAAATATTTAAGATTTTTATGTTTTTATAATTTTGTATCATTTAATTGATGATAATTGTCAAATAAACAAAAAATTATTGATTAGCTAAAAAAAATATAAATAATGTTGCATTTGTAACTAATAGTATGATATAACTTGCATGGATTATAGATACAATTACTACTGTATATATTTATTAAAAAATATCAGTATACCAAGGTACCTACTTACTATTTAATTTACACTCTATCTGGGCTCCTATATATATAATCTGTGAATAGTTAAAATTTAAATAAGGACCTTCTTAAATTGTAATTTTTTTATGAATTTCCATGATATGGAATTATTCCCAAATTATTATTATTTATATATATATACATAAATATATTTTAAAGAACTTTATAAATATTAATTTTGTTGAATTACTTTTCTGTTCTAGATTTTTGAACTGTTATTGGGAGTATGGAAGAACAGGAAACTATGAACAAAACATTGCCACTTGCTAAGAAGCAGAAAGTTAATGACAGTGAATATCGCTTGGTAGATTTAAACGTAGATACAATTAGTTTAAACTTGACAAAACATTGTCTATGTCAATTGCCTGAAACATGTATGCTAAAAGAAGTTTTTAGGGTCTCAAATGTAAGTAGTTGGAGTAATGAACGACTTTTAAATTTTTTGAGTTCAGCTCGATTGACCTGTGACATTGCCCTCAAACAACAATCAGAAGGCACTATATGCACCAGTGTTGAGCGGTTAAGTAATTACTTAATTTCTAATAAAACTGGTATAGTAAATGAAGTTGTATCTTTACTTACACGAACAGATCCTTACATATCATACGCAGCTAGTAACGCTTTAGCAGAAATATTTTTGTGTTCACAAAATAAATTAGATAATGCATGGGTGGAAGAGTTAACAGATTTATTTCTTCGTCGATCTCCTGAAACTTTATGTCCTGTTATATCAGTTTTTAAACGTGTATTGTGTTGGAGAGATTCACAAATGAATGATAATGAAAAAAATATCAAGATGCCTGAAAATTGTGTTAGCAGGAAAGTTATTTTTGAAGATGATGAAATTGAGATGGATGACGAATTTGGAATAAGCCTTGTTAAAACGAAAGTTATTGAAGTTTTACAAAACCAATGGAAAATGATTGTATTGAAATTTATTAGGTACATGTCATCTTTTGACCACTGTACAGATCTTAATACTGAACAATTCACTCATAAAATGGGTCATCTTGCCATCATAGAATTTATAAAGTTATGGACCTCTATGGTTTCCATTAAAACCAATCTTAATGTTATGAACATTAAATATTTCTACGCAGATTTGGGACAAATGCTTATTCTTTTAAGGCGGCCAAAAGTCCAACCAGTAGTTTGGAAGAATATTATTAATCTTTTCAATGAAAGTTTGTGTTACACCACAACATTGGCTGTACAAGGTACTATGCAAGAAGAACCTTGTATGTTGGCTAGAGAATTGGTCAAGGTTGTAAAAACTAAAAATATGTTGAATAATATGCCATTTAGAAAAGGTCCTGGAGAATTCGGAGGAGGAGAAGAAGACGAAGGCGATAAAAAATTGTTACAAGACACAGTTTTATTAATTTTAAAAGCAGTGGCTACAATCATCAAGGAGACAAAAAATGAATCTTCATCCAGTGATTCTTCGTCTGATGAATCTGAAGACTCTGAAGAAATAGATGCTGAGATGGCAATAATTGAAAGTAGTGTCAATGAAGTTTTACGGAAGCTTGATGCATGTGTTAAAAAATGTATGTCTTATCTGCCGGAAACTCAAATTGCACAGTGGATTGTACAGTTATTTTCTGATCGCAATGACRTACTCATTGAGAGTATGATATGTACTATTGATATTTCACTGGTATTGTGTTATCGTCGTAACTCTTTACCAATGTTGCGTCAAGTGCTAAATCCCACTGCCAGTTTAGTTGAATTTCTACAAACATTATCTTATAATAATGATTTAAACGAATTAATATTAGATTTATTGTTGGGTAGTGACACTAGTTTTCTGTTGTACATAATGCGAATATTGAAATTCATATGCAATAGGTGGTCAGAGTTTTGCCTTTGTTGTGATACAAAGTTGCAAAGCACAATGGCTACATTAASAAACTTACAAACAAGTCTTGACCAACTCATTAAAAATAATTTAACTCCTTATAATCTTAATCCAGTATTAAGGTTATTAGTTAAATGTAATGAGTTGTATTCGGGTATAGCTGTAATAAACATTTGAATAATTTATAGTTTTGTTAGTTCAGTGGCGGCTCGAAGGAAGTATGATTCAAAAATCATGTTTATAAAGATATTAAAAGAACATTGGACCCACATGTGTTTTCTCTGTCTTACACACATACCGCATAGCAAATTTTTGTTCGCTAGTTTCAATAGTGTGCTGTTAGTTTTTATATTAGGGTGAATTGACCCAGTATCAAACTTTTAGGTAATAATTATGTGCATTTTCAAATATTTATACTTTAGGTACTCATAACTTGTTTAAAATTAAAATATTGTAAAAACCAACAAGTGAACACACAGATAATGTTCTTACAAGTTTCTAATTTTAAAAGTTTTTTTTTTTATATTGATCTTAAGCCCGGCGACTAAGGCCATTAGCTGTTGTAGGGGTTATGAACTGTGGTAGGGATAAGGTTTTGGTACGGTAGGTTGTTCTACGGTTGTTACGGTAGGTTGCAAACATGTGTATGTGTCAAGGTTTTTAACTACTATGAACCGAGTGGTCACCCATCCGGGAGCTAGTAGCTGTGACTGTTACTTACTCCCAGTCGTATTCCGCAATTGGTAGCAGTAAACTCGCCACACCTTTAAAAGTTTAATAATGGGTTAATTCACTCTAATATCAAAACTAACAGCTAACTAACTAGTGAAACTTTTCTATGTAATATATGTGCAAGATGGGGTCATACATGCGAGTATGACATCCTCTTAATGGGCAGATGGCCTATATGGTTGAAAAAGGTAGTTTGAATTATTTATAAATGTCATTTAACCAATAACAATCTATAAATTCACTATTTAGAGAGTAATAAAAGGTGGATGGTTTAAAAATATTATGTGGGTGTTATGGAAATAAAGTTCAAGCCACCACTGAATGTTTCTAGTTTTAATTTGAAAATATATTTTTGATATTTAAGAAACACTATTTTTATCCTATAGACAATTCAAAATTTCATACACCAAAATTAGTTTAAGGACCTGTAAATGATTTAAAGTTAAAAATACGGTGTACAGAATTGATTTGCTCAATTTTGATGTAAAAAATTGTATGAAATGAAACTAAGCTGTGACCTTATAACAACAATAAAAATACAATATTGGTTAACTATTTGTTACCAATTTTGTATTTATACATATGTAAAGTTCATATTATTCATATATTTTAGATTTAGATAAGTGTATTTTAATTTAAAATTGTAAAATTAAGTGTAATTAATTATTGTTACTAAACTTGTTATATAGTTTAATGTAAGTAGATAATTTTGTCGAGATAATTATTGGTTTTTATTTGTTTTAATTTATAGAAAACAACACATTTCTAAATACATTTGTATAGCTAATCACAGCTGTGAATTAAAACATTAATATTTAGGAACGTATTAGGTCTTCTGATTTAATGTGGTATTTAAATTATTTATTTTTATAGTAAAACATATGATGAACATAAAGACTGATACATAGGAACTATTTTTATTTAAATTAAGTTATATTTAAGAATACAAATTTTAGCCAAGTTGCCATTTAAGAGAACTTTATTGCATAGTTTATTTATATTTATTATATATACTTTTTTAGTTAAATCTACTTATTTCATATTATCTTATAAATTGTAGTCTTTTCTTGTTTTATTCTTTGTTTTTATGATTTTATGAGTTACTTATTAAATCCAATACGATAATATCTATTATTAAAGTGATACGCGTAGGTTTTTATATTGAATTGTACTTATTAATGTTATGTAAAATATTTTAGTTTTATTAATTAACTTGAGAATTATATGTTTATTAAACTTCTTTTGAAATCTGTATTAAACTATTATTCTATTAATTTTCTTTTCTTTTCTTTTTTTCTTTGTGTCCTTATAGCAATTACCTATCAATTATCAATATTTATTTTTTTACAATATATTATGTATGTGTGTATATAATATTTAATTATCTATAAAGTTAGTATATTGTACCAATATGTGATAGTCGATGTGTCCACCATTTATGATATGATGACCCAAAGACAACAAACCAAATACAATTCTTAGTCGTTACTGAAATTTTTGCAATGAATTATACTAAGAATTAATTTATTAAAATAACAAATAGAGTAATATAGGTTGTAAAATGATAAAATATATAAACCAGGGCAGTGTTGTATTTGTATTTGTGTAAGTTAAATGATTAAAAATCATACTTTTTATTTTAATAATTAGGATCTAGTTTATTTATAATTGGCACCACTAATAAATTTCCATGTTGTTAGCCCTTAGTTACTTATTATCGTTACCATGCATCAATTTATACCTAAGAGAAATACATTTTTGTTTTCCATATGAACCACGTGTACTTAAAAACTTACTTCATCGTTAAAGATTTAAGTGTAAGCCTATATCATTAAATCTACATAACAATACAAAACTAGATAGGTAATATTATCTATAACCATTTATGCCCATAAATTTCAAAATTGTCATCATCATTAATATTTTTTCCTCTTCTGTGTCATTGTCACCTTGACAAATCGTTGTGATACTTCTTGGAGCCATCAAACGCAGTCTGAATAACTCTGATCTACAATATTACTTTTTAGCAGCCAACAGCCTTTATTCCATAAATAATAATTGGTTTGTGATTTTTAATATAAAATGCCATTTTATAGGTAGAATAAATTAATATTCACATATTGGTATAATGTTGAGGTTTTTAGTCTGAGATTACTGCATATTATGCTTGTATTTCTCATAAAAAATGTATTTCTATTAGTTTATTTAATTGTTAATTTATTTATGTATTATATTGTAAAGCTATTCATTACTATTTGTTGAAAACAATTTTTATTGAATATGAACTTTACTTAAGTAAATAACTTTAGATACCTATTAAAATGTAAAAATAAAATGTATTGTGTAATATTAATGTTTTATTGAATCACACTTTGTATAATCAAATAAAGTAATTAATAGTGAATTATGTTGTAATTGGAATCAAAATGTGAAATAAATATTTTTTTTATAAATTCTAATGAGTTCCTTTTTGCATATTTATTAATCATCAAATAATATTATTTCTTAAAAAATAATTTGTGGCCAAGTCTTATATTTTAATTTAATATATAGGTGAGGACTTAGGATATTAGGTTACTGAAAAGTATAAGGACAAATTAAAAAGAATTCCCTAATGTTGATTTTTATCGGTTTTATTTTTGTAAAATTAATTAGATTAAAGCCTGTTATTGTAAAAAAAATTGCTGTATTTAGTTAGTGGAGTATTTTAATCAAACTCAACTTTTTTAGATCCTGAGCGGATAAATTGATTTTTATATTGATGTTTTTTTTTTTTATATCTATTATCACCTCTGGAACTCAAAATATTTAACCTTGATTGTAAATTAGTTTTATAGTTGGCACTTTGAAGAGTCAATTAAGTTCCTTGTACTTTTAAAAATAAAGTTAAACATGGATTCTTCTAAAACCTTTTGATAAAATAATTAATTAATTAATCAACTTCTAACTTAAAAATGAATTACTGTAGAAACTTTAAATTTTCCAAAAAAAATTTATTGACATTTTTATATATAATAATATTTACAAAATATTTTGACTCTTTTAAAAAGCTATAGGTATAGTATGTTGGAGCTACACATTTGATATTTTTCGATTTATTTTTTATAAACGTTAATAATATTATTGGCAAGTATAATTCTTAATAATAGGTAAGAAAAGTATGGGAGGTAAGTAAGTATATTTATGCAAAATTAAATTTCATACCAAATTCTGGTATTTTAATTTTTTGTTGTAAAATATTCTTTTAAACTTAAAATTTGAAACGCATAATTGTATAGTTGCATATTTATGCATATTTTCTAGACGGCCAGTACCTAATATGCAAAAATATTAGCACATAAGTAAAAAATTATTTTTAACTATGAATAAAACATATTAAAGACATTTTTGTTGAATACAGCCATATTATAGGTTATACATAATTAGATATATTTATTTGGAATAAAGATAAAATATTATTCTAATAATTTTTATTTATACAATAGGGGGCATGGTAGACTTTTGACACTATTTTAAATAACCATATTTTAAGAAATACTTAATAAAATCTATATTATATTATCTAGTTAAATGGAATTTAAATTTCAATACAAATAAAATATACTAAGGCGGATTTAACAATTTTCCGCCCCTATGCCAAATTAAATTTGCCACCCCTATCAAAAAAAAAATTTTAACTTTTATTTAATAATACAAATAATATAAATAAACGAATACAAAATCAAAACTTTCAAGATTTTTAAGTGATTGATAAAATTTAAAAATGATGTACCTACCTAATTTTACAAAATCAAAATAAATATTCAACAAAATTTTGCCGTCCTATGGGGCAGCATAGTTCGCAGTGCCTTAAATCCACCCCTGAATATATATATATGTATATATTACATTTTAAGCTTAACTAAACTAAACTTAMTTTTATCTTGATTTAAGATTTAAGTTAGGTTATAATTTAGTGTAATATTTTATAATCATCATATTACGATTACTAACAGTTTGTATTATTAAAAATATTCGTGGGCATGCGCAGGTAGATAACAATGGTACAAATTAAGTTAAAGCTACCTACTTAATAATTTTGAACTTTTGAAGATATTTATTGCACTAAATTTTAATACAAAAATCACGAAAACCCATTATTTAACTTTATGAATAACATAAAAGGAAAGAAGCCAAAATATTATAGTTTTATAGTTTTAGAAATTAAACTCAAAAAAATGACAAAAAACTTTTATTGTAAGTTAAAGAAAGTATAATATTAAAAGTAATAGTAAACATCATTGGTCAATGGATCTCAAAATATATTTTTATCACTATCAGTAAATTAAAGTTATTTTATTCAGCAGATGCTGTATAGGTATTAAATACTATTTGAAAATTAAAAATTAAAAATAATCATCAATTGTTTTGTTTTCGTCGTTGGAAAATTCTAACACGAKCACACACGACCGGGACAGATACATCGTATTTGCATTTTTTTTATGGAGTACCTATATGTCATGGATATACTAAAAAAGAGAAGTGAGTACACTTACCCGGGCAACCGGCTATGTAGGTATAGGTAAGTGTATTATTTAATTTTCAGTTTTCAGTGTGTCACCCGCTATGTATCAACTACAGTCTACAGATGAGAATCGTGGAATTTTTTTTTCAGAATTTTTC